GGAAGGACAAAAATCACATGATCACTGAAAAAGCATTTGACAAAATTCAACACCCATTTGTGATAAATATCCCCAACAAAATGGGTGTAGAGGGCAAGTACCTCAACATAATAAAGACCACATATGACAAACCCACAGCCAACATCATACTTAACAGCAAAAAGCTGAAAGCTTTTACTTTAAGATAAGGAACAAGACAAGGATACCCACTCTCCCCACCTTTATTCAACATAATACTGGAGGTCCTAGCCATGGCAATCAGACAACACAAAGAAATAGAAGGCATCCAGATTGGTTAGGAAGAAGCTAAACTGCCACTCTTTGATATGACATGATATTGTACATAAAAAACCCTAAAGAATACATGCCAAATCTGCAAGAACTAATCATTGAATTCAGCAAAGTTGCAGAATACACATAAAATCTGTTGCATTCCTATATACTAACAATGTACAAGCAGAAAGTAAATTAATACACATAAAATCTGTTGCATTCCTATATACTAACAATGTACAAGCAGAAAGATGAATCAGAAAAACAATTCAAATCACTTTTGCATCAAAAAGAATAAAATACCTAGGAATAAACCTAACCAAAGAAGTGAAAGACCTATACCCTGAAAACTACAAGACACTCAGGAGAGAAATTAAAGACACCAATAAATAGAAATACATCCCATGCTCATGGGTAGGAAGAATTAGTATTGTCAAAATGGCCATCCTGCCTAAAGCAATCTACAGATTCAATGCAATCCCTATCAAAATACCAACAGCATTCTTCAACGAACTAGAACAAATAGTTCTAAAATTCATATGGAACCACAAAAGACCCCAAATAGCCAAAGCAATCCTGAGAAGGAAGAATAAACCTGGGGGGATTATGCTCTGCAACTTCAGCTCTACCTCAAAGCCACAGTAATCAAGACAATTTGGTACTGGCACAAGAAAAGATCCATAGATCAGTGGAATAGAATAGGGAGCCCAGACATAAACCCACACATATATGGCCAATTAATATAAAGATGCCATGGATATACAATGTGGAAATGATAGCCTCTTTAACAACTGGCATTGGCAAAACTTGACAGCTACATGTTAGAGAATGAAACTGGATTATGGTCTAACTCCGCACACAAATGTAAAATCAAAATGGATCAAGACATGAATGTAAGTCGTGAAACCACAAAACTCTTAGTAAAAACATAGGCAAAAATCTCTTGAATATAAACATGAGCAACTTTTTTCTGAGCACATCTCCTCAGGCAAGGGAAACAAAAGCAAAAAGGACAAAATGTAACTACATCAAACTAAAAATCTTCTGTACAGCAAAGGACACCACTAGTAGAACAAAAAGGCACCCTACAGTATGGGAGAATATATTTGTAAACAACATATCTGATAAGGGGTTAACATCCAAAATATATAAAGAACTCACATGCCTCAACACCCAAAAAGCAAATAAGTCAATTAAAAAATGGGCAGAGGATCTAAACGCACTTCTCTAAAGAAGAAATTCAGATGGCCAACAGGCACATGAAAAGATGCTCCACATCGCTAATCATCAGAGAAATGCAAATTAAAACCACAATGAGATATTACCTCACACCAGTTAGGATGGGCGGCATCGAAAAGACTAGGAACAACAAATGCTGGTGAGGATGTGAAGAAAGGGGAACCCTCCTACACTGTTGGTGGGAATGTAAATTAATTCAACCATTGGGGAAAGCAATATGGAGGTTCCTCAAAAAACTAAAAATAGAAATACCACTTGACCCAGGAATTCCACTCCTAGGAATTTACCCCAAGAAAACAAGATCCCAGATTCAAAAAAACAAATGCACCCCTATGTTTATTGCAGCACTATTTACAACAGCCAAGGTATGGAAGCAACCTAAGTGTCCATCAGTAGATGAATGGATAAAGATGTGGTACATATACACAGTGGAATATTATTCAGCCATAAGAAAGAAACAAACCCTACCATTTGCAACAAAATGGCTGGAGCTGGAGGACATTATGCTCAGTGAAATAAGCCAGGCAGAGAAAGACAAGTGCCAAAAATTTCACTCATTTGTGGAATATAACAAAGCAAAACTGAAGGAACAACAGCAGACTCACAGACTCCAAGAAGGAACTAGCAGTTACCAAAGGAAAATAGGGTGGGGATGGAGGGAGAAGGGGATTAATGGGTATTATAATTAGCACACATAATGTAGGGGGGCACAGGGAAGCAGTATAGCACAGAGAAGACAGTAGTGACTCTATAGCATCTTTCTATGCTGCTGGATGGTGACTGCAGTGGTGTTTGTGGGGGGGGGAATTTGATAATATGGGTGAACGTAGCAACCACAATGTTGCTCATATGAAACCTTCATAAGATTGTATATCAATGATAACTTAATAAAAAAAATACCATCTGTAAATGCCGAACTATAGGTGATGATATATATGCTGAAACATTCAGGGGTAAGTATTCTGATGATCCTAATTTAGAATTATAGAGTCTAGCTATTGGATTTCTAGGAGTTCACTGTATCATTCTTTCAACTTATCTGTATACTTGAAAATCTTAACAACAAAATGTTGAAAAAATATTACACAGAAGTTCAATATATAAAATAAAAAACACAGTGACTCTGGTTGAAGCAAATGTGGGGCTCCAGTTGGCCCAAACCTTGTTCCCTGGGATTGTCCCTAAGGGACTTCCCTAGAGCTCTGTGAGTTGGAGGAACACACTTTGAAATTACTGCTATTGACAGCCCACCTGGTCAGAATGGGGATGTGGATGATAAAATTCCCAGTACCAACAACAAATCTAGCTCAGGAGAGGCTACAACAGCACAGTGCAATAGTACTATGGGTATTTTAGCTGTGTAGGCATCTGCTAAAACCTGAATCTACTAAAACCAGGTGTCACTAACTTGTTGACTTGTCTCGCTAAAGATCTCATTTCAAAAAGTTTAGAAGTTGCAAGGAAAACTGCTACATAGTACTGAATTCTGATCAAATAGGAAGGGCTAGTAAGGGACGGTGAAGTGATGAATCATTGGGAGAAGGCTACCAGGTCACTTTGGAATTTGGGATGGACAATGAAGCAACACTGGACATATATGCAGAAATGTTCTTAGAAAAGGGTACCAAAAACAATAATCTGATGAGATATTAACAAATGAAGAAGGAAAGAAAAAGGCATCTAAAGAAGTGGCTGCAGAGGGAACTTGTGTTTTAAGTGTACAAATGATGGAAGAGGGAGCAGATTAGCAAGGATGAATACAAAAGTCTTGCACAAACAGCTTCAAAATAGTTCCAGGAATGCAAAGTCAAAAACTAAAACAAGCATAAAGGTTTTTAAAGATATTTAGGGCTAGAAGGAGAATAGACAAAGGTGGAGACACTTCCTCCATCAGATGGTTTAATATGAACAGAAAGCAGATTTACTTATCTCTTCTATTAAAGACAGTGCTTTTCAAACTAGAAATGGCAAAATAGAGTTCATGTACTTGAGTGCAGGTACCTTCGGATGTTACCACAGAAATAAGGTCAGTAATAGCTAAGGACTTTAGAATCCAGCAGACGTGGTGTCAAACATAAAAGGGCTCCTGGATCCAAAAGGGAAAACAAGTAGACTCTGGCAAATATTGATTCATGAGTTGATACAACCTCTGGAAAGTTCTAGGGTGAATTATTACACAGAAGGCAGATAAGTACATGGAAAATGAAGTAATAATTGCCAGACAACAACAGGAGTTCACTGTGAACTACCCACCTATCTTCTGTTAGTTGGTTTATTGTAAGGAGGGATACCAGGGACATGCTCAATGTGGCCAAAATTTCAGCAAGATACTTGTCAAGTTATTGATGTTTTAGACATATAAATTGAGCACCATAACAGCATAGTCAGACAGACTTAAATGTCTATTACTGACTGAAGAACTGTAACTCAATGTGCACATTAATGAACAGAATGTCAAACTGAATGGGGGTTCCTGGTGATGGTGCTTCATTGTTCATGCCTCCCTCTTTTTGTTTCCAGGATATAGAACTCACACTTGTGATGCCAGAAGGGAAAGTAAATACTTGTAAAAGGTATTTGAGATGTTGACAGGTTGGAACAATGAGACCAGATAAAGAAGATAAATCTTATTTGGTCAAATATAAAGTTCTGTACTCAGATTTTAGAAAATCAATTGTATAATTAGAAGATGGGAGATAACCTGAACAATTTGGGGAAAGACATCCATGATTCAATTGTGTAGAATGGCAGCTAAAGTGTTGATGTCATTTTAGTTTGATTTAATGCATGTATGAAATCAAAAGAAGAAGATGAATCTCCCCTGTACCCCGAGCTGGTCAGACTGTGTCTGAAGCACTGAATCCAGTCTTAGATGAGACCATTTAAAATGGAGTGTGCTCAGAGGGAGGGTCAACAGGAAACTGTCACATGGGAGAACAGCCGAAGGAACTGGAGATGTTTAATCTAGAAAAAATGAGACTCCAGGGAGTGGAAATATGATCTTCCTACCACCGCTCTTGGGGAGCTGGAAGTATTCAGTGATGATTCAGAAAGTAGAACTTTGGCTAAAGAGAAAAATCCTTCAGCTCAATAGGGAGCTAAACATTTTAATAACTGGAGCTCTTTGAAAAAGAACTGGGCTGCTTTGTGAGGTAGTAAGATCTTCATGTCTAGTAGTATGTTAGTACACTTTAGAAAGGTACCAGTCCAAGATGCTGTAAAGAAAATTCTTACTTTGTGGTTTGTAAAATGTTGGATTTGGTGACCACAGAAGGCCTTTCAAGGGGGAATTTATGCCATCAGAATCTGATTCAAATTAGTTAACTTAAAGGCCATGAAGGCTTTTATAGAGCATAAATAAGATTATAGATAATAGTACTGATTGCTTATGCTTTCAATACTTAAAAGTCCATTTAGATAGAACAGATAGATAGATTCAGGGTTATTAATGACACTGAGCAAGTATATATAATAAACATGAATATTACCTTGACAGGATATGAAAAAAGCTTAACAAAACCAAAATCATCTCCAGTGGCTAAGAGGGAACAATCTTTGGTAAGGCTGGCAGCATTTACATCAGTCACATCGCTATGAGCCGGCCAGATTCCCTCACAGGTGGGCCCCAGGACACAGGTCCATGTGTCCCATTCTATCCTTTCAATCTTAAAAAGAAGGAAAGAAAATTAATATATTTTTGCACAACCTAGAACTCTTTTTGTCTTATGTAAAAGAAACAATTTGAGTCTCAGTAGCTCTAAATGATAACTTTCCCAACATTAGGCATGTGTGTTGTGTGCTGAGGTGCACAAGTACTAAGTTGTGTTTGAAAAGCAGCATACGCACTGTCCTAACAAACCAGCATTTCAAATATCCATATATATTTCTCTAGATAAAAATGAACATTTTGGAGTTGTGGAAATCTGACAATAATGAAATTTTTAGTTCTTACCTACATATTTATCACTGTATAAGCTATAAGCCTAGATCAGCGTTTCTCAATGTCAGCACTATTGATGCTCAGACTGGATAATTCTTGTCAGGGGCTGTCCTGTACACGGTGGTATATTTAGCAGCATCCCTGTCCTCCACCCACTGGATGCCAGTTGCACCTCCTCCCCTGACTGCCCCAGGCACTGCCAAATGTCCCTAGGAGAGGAAGCAAAATTGCTCCCAACTGAGAACCACTGAGCTAGATTGATAATGGTGTTAATTATTTAGGAACCTATTATAAAAAGTCACAAGACATTTTTTTTTTTATTAAAGGACTACTTCCTTGGAGGAGAGAGTAATATGATCCTCCAGGTAGCTTAATATCCTTTATGCTCCAGAGTGACTACCTTAAACATTTGAAAAGCTGTTCATATTGTATTACCAGGCAAATACATTTTTATCCTTTAAAACTATTTTGTCTGAAATTCATGAGCAGAAGATTTGAAATTCATATAGGTTAAATCCTGGTAAAACCAAGGCTTTCTTTCCTTTTTTTAAATGAAGCAGTAACAATGAACCGTAGTAATAGCACTGTATAGGACTTTCTAGAAGATCTGATCTCATTTACTTTCATTCAAGATATGCTAATACATCTTAGCATTGCAGTTCTTCAATAAGCACTTTAAAGCCCCGTGTAAAAGAGTATTAAAAACATCATTAGAGAACTGGGGCTTAAAATTCAAGACAAGATCTCTCTTTGGATTTGAAACTTCTTTGCACACTCTCAATGCACCTTGCCTCTATTTCTGTTGCTTTCTGCCTTCTGTCCCTGCTTAGATGAGAAATGACAAGATAAAGATGCAGCCAGGATTTTGGTCGTAATGCGGGGAGGTACTATACATGTTTTAGTCACAACTCTTTTTAACACTGTGTTGCTTCCGGATATGTGTGGAACTTGAGCCAAACAGCTGGGGCTGGCTCTGGCAGCTTGGACCCTCAAGTAGGGTCACAGACTGAGATGACTTGAGGTGGCTGCTCAGTAGTTACCTTGGTTTTTTGAGCCGAGTTTCCCACACTCCTTATGTCCTAAACTGACCTGCACAGGAAGAGAAGTTGAGAACCATCCCTGCTGGCTCTACAAGCAAGCTTTCTGGCCGCTGACTTACTTCCAGGCTCCAGGTTACTTCCTGAGACTGTCCTTGTCCATCCCCAGTGCCACCACCCTGTGGGGCACCTTTCCCGGCCTCACTGTCCAGGCAGCAAGGGGGATGCACTGGTATTGCTCATACTGTGGCAGAATGCCTTTGGCCAGATTGGACATTCTGCTCTCCGGGACAGCAAACATCTGACTTGCAAGCTACAGAAATTGCATTTAAAATGGAGCATTAAGAATGACCCCTGAACCCACAAAACCCAAAAAGACTAAACTTGTTCAAAACTCTGGGACTTAAATGGAAGGGGAGTCTTCAGGCGGTCTCTCCCACAGCCCCTCGCCTCAGGGAGATGTCTTATTATCACCACCATTTTCAAGAGGAAGCAACTGAGGTGGCCATTTAAGTCAGAGCCTGCTTAGGAAGCAGAGGAGAAGGTAAGCCCAGAGAATTGGCCTCCCAGTTTAGTGCTGCTTTAACTGCACTGTGCTGCATCAGAGGGATTCAAAAGGATATTTCAATATTTGTCATATTTAACAATTAGCTGGGTAAGCTTTGTGCTGGTTTTATCATGCTGTTCCTTAAATAAATTTTTTTTAGAAAGAGGATTTTCAAAATCCTTCATATTCTGTTGAAGGGCCTGACAACACTGGTGACTAAAACGATGAGCTACCTCTTTAGTCCTCTCGGTAGAGGCAATACCAGAATGGGCCAGGCCAAAGAAACATCAGCTGAAGGACTCACAACCAAAGATCAACCTCTGCCAGAAGTGAGCACTGCAGAGTAACAGATGAGCTCTTTAGAGCCACAGGCTGAATCTCCCTCTGGTACATATGCTTTTACATAATGATTGCCCACCTGTCCCTAGTTGGCCTTGTACTCCTTCACCATTTGGTTGGACAGCACTTTATTTTCGTATACTTGTTTTGGAGCACCAGAACAGAAAGGGAAAATCAGGTGAAGTAATGTAAAATGATGTTTAAATACACAGAAGAAATCTGAGAAACCTCATGGTCCAGGCTGGGGAGCCACACACACTCCTTTCTAGACTAAGAGCATAGCTCCATGGTCCTCTTACTCTCTACAGCCTTAATTTCTCTACCTATAAAATGAGATTGACAACTATCCCACAAGGCTGTTGTGAAGATTAAAATACAGGTATATGAAGTGCATGGCACATTCAACAGGTGTTCAGTGAACAAATAATATAATTAAAATATCCCTTATTCCAGGTTATAAAAGTCTCTACATATAAAAAAGTTAAAATAAGAACTAATCAGAAATAAATAAACTGGAATTGGGGAGTCAGATCAATTGATCAGTAAGCAATATTATGCCTTTATCTGCAACAATTCATGTTTCTAGGGACTGCAAGTATACTCCCTTCAGAAACAATGAAAACATGAACAGACACACCTCGGAACATCTCCAGGAGTACTTTGCAATACTAAGATAGTTCAATGACTGGCAAACCAAAGTTAGAGAGGCAGGTGTTTGTTCCTCAGCAGCAGATCTTTAACCCTTCTTTCTCCAAAGAAGCAGTATTTCCTCTTCGTTCATCAAAGTTTACAGAGCAAATAAATGAGCAAAACTGTCCTCTGGGACTGAGAGGATTTCCTTAGTGCTCAAGCAGGCAGTGACCTTTTGGCCAGCAGCGTTCTTTACTGGAAGCACTGAGCAGACCCTGGAAGTCACTCACAAAAGCAGCTGAGCTTTTAGGAAGGCGTTAGTTTATGAACTCAAAGTTTTACCTGGGCTTTGATTCCAATAATTAAAAAATCATGTGTGTGGCTATGGAGATGAGGAAAACAAGGAAAAAAGGAAGAATTTGATACATTAAGATGGTCATGTTGGGAGTAATTTTTGCCTTAAAAAATAATTATATTACTGTTGCTGAAGATAGTTGATTATTATAAAGACTAAACATTGAGAAGTATGTTTCAAAAATTGAAGTTTATAAAAAGCTTTGCACAAAATGACAGGACAAGTGGAATGGAAAAAGTAACAGGTAGCATCCAGATTGTTGCTTAGTCATTGTCTTTGGGCACAGAAAAATTAAACAGAGAGCCAATTGCTTTGCTACATCGTGATACAGTAAATCTAAGTCCCCAAAAAGTAGGAAAACAGATCAAGCCATCATATTTAAGAAATGATCAAGCTTAAAGGTACACTAAATATAACCCATACTAGTGGATAATATTTTGCAGCTTTTATTAAAATATTTATAAAATATTAAATCCTCATGAACTATTTTTTTAAAAAGCTCTGTGTATGATTGTTACCTCTGAAGGTCTTATGATGTGCCGTTTGCCTCTTGGTGCTTCAAAAAAGAGTTGTTCTTTGGCACCCGAATTAACTTGCAATAATTTTCCTGTTATGATACAATGAAGTAGAAAGACAATTAAACTCTGCATTTATCTTTTTATTATAGTGATAAGCATGGTTGCAACTATTTTGATGCATTTTAATTGAAGTCTCATAAATTGAGTAAATCTATGTTGAATTATCCAGAAGAGTATGTAAAGGCAATTACATGGCATGGTACAAAACCCAAAGTTATGATTTTTCTTTTAATATAGACCTCATAAAATCTGACTATGAACATCCTTCAAAAAAGAGAAGAATCAAGCTTGCTATGTTTTACTCTGTTGCACTGAATGTAGCCATTTTTCCAAAGCTTGACAAAATCTATTTGTTACTCTTTTTCCATGTTTGCCACCTAGCACAGAGATGTAGTAAAAGCAAATTGCTTGGCAAGAATTATGGGATCAGAAGGGAGAACCCTGTAAGCATTTGCATTGACTCGGGTCTAAATTCAAAACTTGCCCTTTAAAGTTCAGAAACAGGAAGATAAGGACACACAATATAAACTTGTGTGATTTGTAAATGTGTGATTTGTGTGATTGTGTAAATGGTGATTCCCCTCTCCTCCCCTATCTTACTTGAAAATCTGTGAAGAAATCCAAGTCTTAAAACAAAAGGTTGAATAAAACAGTCTTTCAGTCTGATGTAAAATTACAATCTTGGATTCATTCTGATTAACGTTGAAAAAGATGAGATTTCCTAATTTTCCCCCTACTACATTAATAATCCTTTTTGGCTTGAAATTTAAATGATCCAAAAAATAGACGTTTTAGTATTTTTTTCAGCATTTTTAATTATGGAAAATTTCAAACACATGAAGAATAGTACACAGAATCCCTATGTGTACAATGTCCAGTTTCAACAGTTAATAGCACATGGCCAACCCTGTTTCATGAACCCCCACTTATACTCTCATCCCAGATTGTTTTGAAGCAAATTCCAGACATCCTATTTTATCTGTAAATAATTCAGTTTATAAATACATAAGAACACATCTTCCCCCACTCTTTTTTCCATAACTAGGTACACATCTAGTAGTCCTGAAATGTTCTTCTTGGAAAAATAATACCAAAATAAGAATTTGGGTTATATCATATTCTTTTACATGTAAGTGGGTATCACCTAGGTCTGAAATCTGGCTGGAATTGCAGGTCTATTCTAAGTGACTAATTACAAACAAGGTTTCTCATTTTGTAACTCAAAACCTTAATTGTTTATAATTTGCTGAGTTGTAACATGGTGATGTGAGGGGGCTTTGTCTGGGCTGTGAGGAGCAAATGAATTTGAAAATGTTTCCTCTAAAATGGGTACATTTTCCTGTGTTTATGGCTGAACATACACACAAGAAAAAAAGGGGGGGAAATTAAATTAGCCTTGGCCTTTTGGCATTGTAAGAAAATGACATATTTTTCCAATGAGCTAAATATATCTGCAAAGTGTGTGTGTATATATATATATATATATTTTTT